CCTCCCCTTTAAAAACTCTTATGACATCAAGTGGGCTAGAGCTTCAGAGGAGCCATCAGCACTGGAGAGGAAGGCTTTGACATCAAAGGACCTCCCAAGAATCAGAACTGCACACTTTTCGTTATTAGGTGAATTTTATGCAGGTTTATGCAGTGGGGTCCTGCAATTCTGCAACCTGACTGTCCCTCGGTTGTTATATTCCTCCTATACATTGCAGGCAAGTTACATGAAGAGTGAGATCTTCACACTTTTCACTGCCTGAGCCTATGACAAGCACCTACTCTGAGCAGCTGCATGTGTTGCTGGTCCTCTAGGCTTGGGTCTTCTGCCTGTGGTTGACAGGAAAGGCTGGATGACTCGGCAGCCAGCATCAGGGTAGTGGTGAGACAACAATGACATCTTGTCTAACTGGACTTGCAGGGTAAGAGGGCCATCAGGTTTTCACACTAAGCATCAAGAGAGCAGCACTCACAGAAGCAAGCTACTAAGCTTCAGCCACACTTGTTTTCATTCTGCAATGTAGAATCTGTCTGCTTGGAGTGTTCATAATGGGATAGCAACACACAGGCATCAGGATCTGCTGCATGGGATGTCTATTCCTCTTGTTTGAATGGTGATAAGAAAAAGTGCCCAGAGGGGGCAGGGAAAGCAAATGCTTTTGGCTCCCTGTCACACTGGAAAAAGGGGGATGGAATGGTAAAGGGAACCCTGGTGTAGTCCTTAAGTCTCTCAGTGGAGAGAGAGGAACAATCTACTTGAAACTCTGATTGAATCTTTCTGAACAGTGAAGTCTCCCAGCTGAGTCTGCATGAGTAAGCGTCTGCCAGAATCACAGGATTGGCTGAGCTTTATGTGAAGGCTTTGCTGAAAGGCTTGTTAAGGAAGCACTGCTGACCAGGCCATCCAATTGCATCACGCTTCAGAAACGAAATGTGCTGCAGCTGGAGAGTCACACGTTGGTGGCTTCCGGCAACAGAGGGATAAAATAACCAACTCTTTCCCACCCTTGGGGCCTGTGCCTCAGAGAATCTCCTGCACTTCCACCCAGCAGCTAGAGCCAATCTAGCAAGGAAAATGAAAGCACTTTCTGCTGCAGGCTGTGTGAAGTGGGTTGGAGGGACAGGTCAGTTACATCAACTTTCCCCAAAATAAAAAATGCAATTATTTATTAATTTATGAATGGCCTTTGGCAAGTGTCAAGGTAATTTACAAACAAAAACAGCTAAATATAATTGCAATTTAAAAACAGCATAAAATGAACATCTAGGGCAGAGATTTTTTTTCATCCAGTGGATGTTAATCTCATATTGCTTTTGTTATGTATCCTGTGGTGTGGAGTTTGAGCCTGGCAGTGTCTAAGATGCTGCAAAATTCTTCAAATGCAAGGTTCTGTGCTTTCCACTGAAATCCAAGGAAGCACAGGAAACACATTTGGTTTACTAGCACACTCTCTCCCATTAACCCGGTCCTCTACTAGTTCACAATACTGGACTACCTGGTACAGCAAGCCACCTCTCCATGATGTACCCAATAGCACTGGTGACTTAAGCTGCAGTCCTTTACTCTGTTGAATTCAACAGGGCTTACTTCTAAGTAGAATTACACTATAAACCAGTGGGTTTTGAAAATACTGAGGTGACAGTAAAATGGCAAAATGAAGAAGTGGGTGCTTGCTGGGGCCTCTAGCATAAGGTGCATTAACAATTGTGGCTCTGGGGACCTGGAATCGTCCTGTTCTGAAGTTGTATTGAACAAGCACCTTTATCTCAAAATGCTCTGAATTTCAGGAAAAGTGCTTTTAGCAGCCCTCCAAGCTCTTGAGTTCCCTGGCTTGAAAGTATCTCCTCTTTTCCCTCAGCCTCCTCCTTGGGGATAACTGCTAAGAGTGTTTAGTTACAAGTATGGACCTACCCAGCAACACACTTACTCCCTCCCTTCATCTTGCCTAGCCAAGAATTAAAATGCAAATCAGAATTGAAGGGCCACATTTAAAAGAGAGGAGTCTTCATATCTGATTTTTTGTTTACTTGGGCTTTTAATTTTGCATGTGAATTGGGACCCCTACAAACTGGAGTTTTCTTGCTGGTGTATTCTGCAACATGTCATCCAAGCAATAATAGTGTATTAGTGATGGATATATACTAGACCATCTGCACATAATTCTACTTTATTTGTAGAATTCTTCCCCAATGTTACTGTGTTATTGCTATCTGGAGGGGAACTCTTACATTATAGTTCACACTATGTCCTTTCAAACATATTTATAGGAGGGGAGTTATTGGGGTTTTTGTTCTTGTTTTTATTATGTATTTTGTGTTCTCATTTTGTATTTTTATGTTGTGAACCACCTTGTGATCTTCAAATGCAGGGTGATATACAAATTTGATTAATAATAATAATAATAATATAGCACAACAAAAGCAGGTCATAAAACCCCTGGAACATTTGTGGTATGAAAAGGTACTGGATTTCAGTAGGAAGCCATAGGACATGTACCTATTCCAAACAAAGCAGTATGATCACCCTGAACCATTTGAAGGTGCAAACAGTATTGAAAGCCAGGTTGCATGTAACAGCCCCAATATTATTATGAATGCACAATTTAAAACATATGTATATCACCTCCTCCTTGCAGATTGCTCTTCTTGCTCCCCACGTCTGCACATACAAATTCCTGCTGACCAAGATCATTGTCCATAAGGCTTTCCTGCACTAAGTTATTAGTGTGGCTGCCCCTCAGTATTAGCTATCTGCATGTGCAAAAGGATAAATCACTTCAGGTCTCAAAGGCTTCCTTTATCACACAAGCCATTCCTTGCGCAATAAAGAAAATCCTATACCTCATCTCTTGCACACAACGATGCTCATCTTCTTTCAGCATGATACATCTGTTGTGGGCTTGTTGGATTTCTACAGTATTCAGATGGTAATACTTTGTACCTGAGGTGAAATGGGGCCCTTCTCCAGAACAAGAGCATTTTCACTGTTGATGTGACTGTTCCCTGCAGACAGTCCAGGGGAACTTCTAGACCCCAGAGGAAGTGAGGGAAATCCTAGCAGGTCCAGAATATGGAAGGAACCACCCATGCAGGTACCTTAGTTTTTCAAAGGGTCATTTATCCTGGGAACCATGTGGCAAGGTTTAGAGCTAGCACTGGAAGCTTTCCCTGGGCACTTGGGCCCACAGCCAAAACATGCAGCTTAAAGGAAATGTAAAAGACACAAGAACCTAAAATTGTTTATTTTAACTCTCAGAAAGGCAGGGAGATGCTGGTGCCTCTGGATACTGCTGGCAGCCTAAGAAGTCAGATTCTTGGGGGAAAGGTTATAGCAGCTCATTAGAGTGCCTAATAAAACTGTCTACAGATGTTCACTGCCCATCCTGATACTCTTTGAAAGAATAGGACCTGAGTAGGTCCCAGATAAACCTGAAGAGCATTTCATCACTCAGGCAGCATTCCTTAGAACTGCACTAACAGAATCACCATGATTACAGGGCCCAGCAAGCATCCTGCTATGTGCTGACTGAATGCCATCTGATAATATTGGTAGAAAGATGGTGGAATGTTGGTCATTAGTCATTACATCCAATATCAGTGGGGCTTGTGAGACCCATCTTGCACACACGCTGCCAACATGAAGAGGTACATCTTGTCTTTGTGCTCCATACATCTACCCCAAAAGCAATATAGCTAGGACTACAACTTCCTATCACTGCTGAGATACCCACAAGGAAACATATAATGCAATCAATGTTAATCCTGAAGGCAATACATTGGTTGGTATGGAAGGAAGAGGCAGACAACACTAGAAAGGGTAGGAGGTTTCAAGAGGGACAAACAAGGTTATATGGTGAGAGATAATTCAACTGTTGTACACCCATTTATCTCCATCATTAAACTACAACCTAGGCTTATATGGGTGGGCTCTATATGAAACAGAGCTGAGCCAGCTGAAAGCAAAAGGTGGCAGATCCCTAGAAGAAAACCAGCAGGAACTAGGGTGTATACAGTTTAAGACAAATCTGCCCTAAAAGGTTAATGAGGGTGAAATTGTTTATGATTGCTCAAATGTGGAAAGGCACCCTATAGGTGTTTATAGGCTAATACAATAAGTTTCTGAGCCATGGTGAGTGAGCTGGAGTGCTTGGTCTTAGAGGAGAGCAGAAATATAGTGAGCATAATGGAAGTCTGGTGGAAGGGAGAAAACCAGTGGGACATGGTTATCTTCAAATGCAAATTCTATAGGAAGGACAGAAAGGGTGTGCTGAAGGTAGTGTTGCTCTTTATGTCAAAGAGGTCATATGAATTCATCACACTAGAAATCCCAAAAGGGAAGGACTCCTCCACAAAATCACTGTGGATGGTAATACCAGGCTTCAAAAGTAGTTTAGTACTGAGGATGTACTACTGTGCCCCCAATAAAAATGCCTAGGATTAACTTGAGGTGGAGCATGACACCAATGAGAAAGCCAAAAGAGGAAGTGCTGTAGTAATGGGTGGCTTCTATTATCTTCACATAGATTAGATGCATGACTGTTCGAATAACTACATAGAAGGAAAATTTCTAGATACCCCAAAATACTGTGTCCTAGAACAGTTGGTCATGGAACCAGCCAGCCAGACAGTGACTCTGGTCTTAATCCTAAGTGGCACCCAGGACTTGATGTGAGATACAAGTGGTATTGAATTGGTTTGGAACACTGATTATAATACTATCAAATTCAACAAACAGTGGTACCTCTGATTATAAACTTAATTCGTTCCGGAGGTCCGTTCTTAACCTGAAACCGTTCTTAACCTGAGGTACAACTTTAGCTAATGGGGCCTCCCGCTGCCGCTGTGCCGCTGGCGAACAATTTCTGTTCTCATCCTGAGGTAAAGTTCTTAACCCGAGGTACTGCTTCCAGGTTAGCGGAGTCTGTAATCCAAAGTGTTTATAACCCAAGGTTTGTAACCTGAGGTACCACTGTATGTTTAAGTGGAAAACTGCCGAGAAAATCCAACACCATCACATTTGACTTCAAAAGAGGTGCACTGGTAGAAAAGAATTTGAAAGAGAAAGTCAAATGGATTAAATATCTCCAAAATATCTGGAGGTTATTCTCAATAATAGAAGCTCAGCTAGAATGTATAATACATTCAGGAAAGGTATCACTAAGGCCAAGAGGATGCCAGCTTGGTTAATGAGCCAAATCAAGAAAGCTCTTAGAGATAAGATTGCTTCCTTCAGAAAATAGAAACCTTGTCCAAATGGGGAAACATACACACCCCTTTTCATCCAACCAGTTCTCACCAATCTCTGCCTAGTTGTTATGCTCTTCCAAAATCAAATCAGAGACAGTAGGTATTTTCCCACTCACCAACCTGGCAATCATTAGTAGTAACACTACCTAAGTTATTGGGGATGGAAGACAGGTCAGAAGGGGAGACAAAGTGCAAGTATGGCCCCATCTCATCACCTGATGCCTCTGTCCACTACCATAGCACCCTCTGCTGATAACACCAAGTCATACAAGGTGATTAAAACATATCCCCAAGTTGGGTGAATGGGCATTAAATGACAAGTGTGTTTCAATGTAAGCAAGTGTAAAATGATAGAAATTGGGGTAAGAAAAATCCTACTTTCATATATACTATTCAGGTCTTAACCAACAGTGACAACAAATCGTAATGTCATGATGAATATCGGAATGACAATGTATGCAGCAGCTATGAAACAGACAAATTCCATGTTGGGAATCATTAAGAAAGGAATCAAAATAAAACTGTCAATATCTACGGTGCAGCAACTCTTGAAGTACTGCGTACAGTTCTGGACACTGTGCCTCAATGATGTTGCAGAGCTGCAAACAGCAAGAAAATGATCAGTGGCTTGGAGCAATTCTTATTTGAGGAAAGGTTACAATATCTAAGGCTTTTTACTTTAGAAGAAAGGTAAGTAATAGGGGGCATAATGGATGTGTAAAATTAGGACTGGATTTCTTATAAGATTAGAACTCAGGGCCACCCAATGAAGCTGAAGATTCAAGATGCACAAAAGAAAGGGCATCTTCACACATTGAGTATTGTGGGCCCAATTTTATGGAACTTCCAACAGAGGGTGGATGGGTCCCTTTCCTGTTGAGTATGTGACACCTAATGAAGACTTTTTGTTCCATTGGGTATTTTAACTGAATTCTGATTTTATTGCTTTAATTGATTTTTATTTTCATTGCACTGATTTATTTGTGTAAGCTTGGAGACTTATCATAATTAAGCTGTATATCAATTGTGAAAAATAAAATTATGGAATTTGTAATGACAAGATGTGGTGATGTTCACCAACACAGATGGCTTAAAAGCAGGGTTAGACAAATGCATGGAGAATTAAGCTATCAGTGGCTGTAAGTCATGATGGCTCTTTTACCTCCAGTATCTGAGCCAGTATGCCTCTAAACACCAGTTGCTGGGGACCACAAGTGGGGGCAGGGGTGGGAATGCTATTGTGTTCATGTCCTACTTGTGGATTTCCCATAGGGATTTGTCCTCATGGCTATATTGTTGCCTATGGGAAGTTCACAAGCAGGACATAAGCGCAATAGCATTCTCTCACTTGTAATCCCCAGCAACTGATGTTCAGAGGCATACTTTGATATAGATAGCATATAGCCATCATGATTAGTAAAAAGACCTAGCACTATGGTCCCATCTTCATTTTAATGACTTGTTATCGACAAAGAGACAGAGTGGCAATCCTCCCTAACTGTGAAAATGACAGAGTTCATGTTTCAGTCTGTTCTACCCTAACACCTCTTCTGAAGATTTTTCATGAATTTAATTGTGGGAGGGGTGGATAAATGTGAAATGGTGGCTCACGGTATTATGAGAGTTACTGCTTTAGAAAATTTGATGATTTATTTACTTATGTATTAGTAATTGTATTTTACTGATTTGTTAGGTGTTGTTAAGGATTATGTTTTTTTGTGGATTTCTCTCTTTCTCTACCTATTGTAAACCATCTTTTGACTCATGGAAAGGGTAGTATAAATAACTAACAATATGTATGAAAATGTTATACCGTCCTTCTATTAAAATGACAATGGTGGTGGATGGGATACGATACATTAAAAACTCAGCAGGAAAAAATGAAAATTGCACCATGTGCTTCCTACCTGTTGGTGTCTCTTGCACTTCTTTTCTAGGCTCTTCTTTTCATGCGTCTTTGAGATCCAGATGGTAGTAAGGAGGCCCAGAGTCACCAAGTGGGCATGAACAGTTTGTTTCTGCAGATTAATTGACTCTTTGGTGAATTTCTGTATGATTTTTTTTCAGACCAATCCCTTTACTGTTTCATAGCATCTTTTGGTTCTGGTAAAGTCTAATAAATCAAAGATGAAGAAATAATTTCTGCATCTGATTGTCCAGCTGATGGATGAAGCACAGAGTCTGCGATTGAACTCCTCTCCAGGTAGGTCCTTGGTAAGGACTCTTCCATCCTAAAATAAGAGAAGACTACATTGGCTCCTTGAGATGGGAAGTAAACACAGCTCACAAGTTTTTTACAATCTAGCTCCCTACCTACAGTATATGCTTCAACCCACTGAGAATATAATATACTGCCATTCCATGACCACTACTACCATATAACTTTATTTCTAATGTGTCTTACGATTATCCAGGGATGGATATATGTATAATACTTGAGACCAGTGCATTCCCTGTGAAAAAATATTTCTCTGAAAGGACATACAATGGGAGCCAGCTAGTGCAGCACCCAGGAAGAAGATACTGATGGGGTTTAACAGCATGCAGAATATGGAAAGAAGAGTCTAAAAGTCAATAGAGCATGTTTTGTGCTCCAGCACTGTAGGAAGGAAGCAGTTGTAGGCAAGAACCTCAGTAATCTGAAAGCATTGCGCAATTTGCAAAATCTGAATTAAAGGACCAATGATTCAGAATTTTATTCCATTTTATGAAATACTGAATGAAAGGTAGGTTTTGGTGCCATAAGTGTTAAGTGTCTGATTCTTCCAGTTAGGATGCATGCAAAAAAATCCCTGCTAATGTTATTAGCAGAGCCACTCATCTCCTTACCAGGTTGTGGCCCAGATAAGCCACCCTTTTGCACCTCCTGGAGCCCCTCAGCCTAGTTTATAGCCCTTCTGCTACTTCTTACTTGAGACATCCAATAACTGTCTCCTCTTATTAGCAGTTTTATCAATAAGGACTCAGCTATCGACAGGCTGCAACTTGAAAAATACAGCCCAACTGTCCCTGGAAGAGCATGTGAGGACTGCTCAGCTTTTAAGGTCTCATTGCATAAAAACTGAAGTGAGTTCTTACCCTTCTAATCTTTGTCCCCTATTCCAGCACTGCAGGGATGGTTCACACTGGCTTGTGGGCATAGTTCAGGCTGGGTTAATTAAGCATATTGAGCCAATAACCTTCCATGTTAGGATAGTGATATTCATAATTTAATGTATTGCTGCTGAAACATTAGCCTGTCAACAAATGGCACCATGCCACAGAAGTCTTAGTGCTGACCACCTTTCAGTAAAATGAGTGTATTGTTAAAGCAGGCATAAATCATTTATGGTTATGGCTCTATTGTCAAACTGTACATGCAAATAAGCAGTAACTTGGGTAATTTATTTTGCCTTTTGGAGATTATTTTCATGATTTTATTATCCCATTTTATGATTCATAGGCACTGGCCAAATGCCATTTTGTGCCTTTTCAGTGCTTTGCTGCTATTCTGTTAGTCATCTTCAAAACAAGGGGGAATCTGGCATCAGCACTGTCACAGTCCCACCAGCTTCCAGCACGGTTGGTGGAAATCCAAGCATCTTATTGTGGATACACCATTCCATTCAAAATACAGGAAAACAGTTGACAAGGCTTTATTGGAAAGGATGGTGAATGGAAGAAGTTTTAGATTGGAAACCTCTTTGGCTAGAGACCTGTCAAACCTGTTCTTTGTACAGCCCTATGTTTATGATATTTAAACACAAACAGCAACATAGATGGGGTGTTCTACAAGCTTTCAGCCCACCAGTTGATGAATGGATTCATGTATAGACCAGGAATGAAACCTCAATTGGCTTTTGGAGCACTCTGGCAATTAGCTGCAAGATTGCTGATGTTTTTTCTTCTTCTTTTTTTTTTAAATTAATCCTGCTCTTCAGCCAAAAAAGGATCTGGAGCAGCTAATGGAACACATGAGGGAATGCACAGGATTCAGAATATGAAAACAAGCAACAGCAGCACTAAGCAGGCATCACAGCATCCAGGAAGGGGAACCTGCAGCTGATCATTTTCAGCAGAGGTTGAAGATTGTGATAAATCTGTACATAGGGTAGAAGACTTGAAATGTTCTGTGTCCTGATGCTTATATAGCATCTGAAGTCACCCTTGTAAGATGTTGTGGTACTTTGCTTGTCATTTATTTATTTTGTTTATTTAAACAATTTATATACCACTTAATCACAGTAATCTCAAGTGGTATACAGGAAACCAAATACAATAAGACTAAAATGAGTTAAAACAATAAAATCAGAATTTAATTTAAAACAGTCTTATTAAAATTTAATTTAAAAAGTATTCAGTAAACACTGGGAGTTCAACAGGAAGGGGGCATGTGTGACCTCAACTGAAAGGAAGTTTCATAAAATTAGGCCCACTATACTGAGTGGGCAGCTCCTTGTGGATACAATCTGTGCATCTGAGCCATGGGGGACCACCAACAGTGACTACCCCAAATACTTCAGTAATCAAACAGGAATATGAAGAATCAGGCAATACCTGAGGTATCCTGGGTCCAAGCTGTTATGGGCCTTGTAAATAAGAACAATGAACCTGGATGGATAGCATACAGGCACCAGAGTTATGTGTTGGCAATAGTCTGTCCCAATCAACAGTCTAACTGCAGCATTTTGCATAAGCTAGAGCCTCCAGACCAGGTCCAAGGGTAGCCCCACATGGAGCACATAGCAATAACTGAGTCCTGAGTGAATCATAGCAGTCAGACTATTCCTGTCCAAGAATGGTCATAGTTAGCATACCAGCCATAGCTAGTAAAAGGTGCTCCTAGTCACTGAGGCTACCTTGATCCTCCAGCAACAAGGATGGATTCAGAATAATTCCCCAACTCTGAACATGTTCTTTCAGAGGGAGTGCAAACCTATATAGAACAGGCAACTGGCCTATCTCCTAAACGTGGGGACCACCAATCCTCCATCCTTCTGTCTTCCCAGGGTTCAAGCTCAGCTTACTGGATCTCAACTCCACAACTGTGCCCAGACAATGGTCCAGATTTTGCACAGTATTTCTGTGCAAAAATACTCCACAGTATGGAGAAGTAGAGCTGTGTGTCATCTTTGTACTGATGACACTTTGCCTCCCAACTCCAAAAGAGTGCACCCTGTGGCTTCATACAGATGTTGAACAAAAATTTGAAATAGATGATAGACAGATGATATAAAGAAAGAACCACATTGAGAACAAGATTGCACGCAGTGGTACACTGCAGTGCAAAGACCATTAAACCAAAAAAGCTATATTCTAATGCTACTTATTGGAAACACCTTGTAGGTAGCAGTAGAACAACAGTAGAAAAATGCCCCTGATACCCAACCCACAGAGCCAGTCCATAAGTATACCATGGGTAGTGGTATCAAAGCAGACAAGAGATTAGGCAGAAGCAGAGAGGCACTTCTCCTGTCCCACTCTCGATTCAGCTCATTTATCAGGGCAACCAAGACTGAGTCAGTCCCAAAACTGCACCTGAATCCAGACTGAAACAGATCTAGATAATTCATATCCTCCAGGAACTCCTGCAACTGCTCAGCCAGCATTCTTGTCACCACCTTCCCCAAAAAGGGGTATTTGCAACCAGGAAGTAGTAGTTATATACCATGGAATCTGGGGTGAGCTTCTTCAGGAGTGGACACACTACCACCAGTTTAAAGGCAGTAGGCATCACACTGTGTTGTAAAGCATGTGTTCACTATACCCTGGAAACATCCAGCCAACCTTACTCCCCACAACTAGCTTTCACCAGCCAAAATGGGCAGGGGTCAAGAGAGCAAGAAGCCAGTTGCATCATTATAAGAGTCATGTCCACATCATCATAAACTGAAATTGATCCCTCAGAGCATAGGAAGGCACTGCATTGGACACCTCAGCTGGAACACCAATGACAGTGGCAGTGAAGGCACTATGGAGCTAAGTTACTTTATCCTCAAAGTATAGTGCAAATTGATCACAGCATGCTGCTGAGTGCTCCAGAGGCCCATCCACTACTTTTGGTACAACTAGCCTACAGAACACCTGAAACAACTCTGCTGGATGGTTCTCTGAGGATACAGTGGAGGTAGAAAAGTAATTCTTCTTTACCACCTTTACTGCTGCTTGGTAGGCAGAGTTATGTGACCTAACAAGCATTCGGTCATCTTTGGACTGAGTTTACCACCACCTGTGTACTTGGGAAAGGGTGGTGAAATTGGGTGCATAACGTCATTGGAAATAAAAAGTTTGTCCTTATCTGCCACCATGAGCTTCTTTGTAGCATTCTCAGGGTATCTACTCACTTGGAAACCTCTCAGCTTAGGAGGTACTAGACTGATGAAGTCGGAATGAACTTCCATCTACTCACTAATGTGCATCTGATTAACTTATATAAACTATTAGATGCATGATCCTAACATATTTTCCATGAGCTGCTGATTCCATCAATATCAGTATAATAAATATCATTCACTTTAAATAGTTATTGTATTCTTGTGTTGGATAACTCATATATTGTAATAATCTCTTGTGTTATGTGGATTTTTAAAAAATGCTGCTTTGCAAACCTCTTGCAATAATTCCATGGCCCCTCAAGGCGTCTACAGCTCACTGGCTGGAAACCACTGAACTAAAGAATACAGATATTAGTGGTGTTGCCAGAAGATTCCCCAAGCCACTGGATAAAGTTCATATCCACTGCTGAGGTGGTTCAGGGTGACTATCCAATTTGAGGATCAGTGAGATCTAAGCACAAAGCCATTCAGGATATGGTTCAGCATTATAATTACCTCATCACCTCTTCCCAAGCTATTGAATTAAGCCTAATCTTTCTGGGCAGGGCAGGACTGTTTAATTTTACCAATAAGAAGGGACAGTTATTCACTGCAAGTCGAAGAGAGAATGAAAGGAACAAGAAAAGCAAATTACATAAGCTCACTGTGAGTACAATAAATTTTAGAAATTAGGACTGTTTCACACAAGCAAACATTGGTTTGTCACTTAGGCTACAAACATAACAGGGAGCTGCAGCCAATCCTGATTAATGTACCTGTTATGGTACACATGCTTGTCACAGTAACTTTTTGTATCATTATGTGGTACACTTAAAGCATCTTAGATGCACACTTAAGAAATGTCACCTGTGTTGTAGCTCTTGCACAAGTTGTCACATTTATCATTATGCGCTATAAAGATCAACATTCCCAAAATA